GGGGCAACCCCCCCCCCCCCCCCCCCCCCCGCGCGCGCGGTCGTCGATCGGCCCGCTCGCGTCATGGCGCACGCGTGCGCTCGCGGCGTCGTCGCGCCCGCGCCGTCGCGCGTCTCCCCGCGCGTCTCCGGACGACGCGTCGTCGTCGCCCGCGTCGGGACGTCGTCCGCGGAGGCGTCCGCGAAGGAGGCGCCGAAGAAGTCCGAAGCGAAGGGCGCGAACGAGGTGCGCGGCGCGTCGAAGCCCTCGCGTCGCGGCGACGCGTCCGTCTCCCGGGACGCGCCGTCACCGTCGCCGTCTCGCCGCCGCCGTCGTCGTCGTCGTCGTCGTCGTCGTCGTCGTCGTCCGCTCAGGTTTTCCGCGCGAGGGTTTCTTCGATCGCTCGAACGCTCGCTCGCTCGTCGTCGTCGCCTCGCGCGTCTGACCGACGCCTCCGCACTCCCTCCAGGTTCAGTTCGAGGCCGTCATCGGCATCGAGACGCACGTCCAGATCAACTCGAACACGAAAGCGTTCTGCCGCTGCGCGGCCGTGTACGGCGCGGAGCCGAACCGCCACACGTGCCCGGTGTGCCTGGGCCATCCCGGGACGTACCCGATCCTCAACGCCGCCGTCGTGAAAAAAGCCATCGCGCTCGGGATCGGTCTCGACTGCTCCGTCATACGACGCAAGTCCACGTTCGACAGGAAGCAGTACTTTTACCCGGACCTCCCCAAAGGGTACCAGATATCGCAGTTCGACGAGCCGTACGGCGAGCACGGGAAACTCGACGTCGTCATCCCGGTGGAGGACGGCGGCGGCGTACGAACCATCGGCATCACGCGCGCGCACATCGAAGAAGACGCGGGAAAGCTGACGCACTTCCCCGCGAAAGGAAACGAGCCCGGGTACGCGCTCGCGGATTACAACCGCGCAGGCGTGGCGCTCGTGGAGATCGTGAGCGAGCCGGACCTGCGCACGGGACGCGAGGTGGCGGCGTACGGCGCCGAGTTGCGGCGACTGGTTCGGTACCTCGACGTCAGCGACGGGAACCTCTCCGAGGGAAGCATGCGGTGCGACGTCAACGTCAGCGTCCGGCCGGTCGGGAGAGAGGCGTTCGGGACCAAGGTGGAGGTGAAGAACATGAACTCGTTCAACGCGATGTCGAGAGCGGTGGACTTTGAGATCGAGAGGCAGACGACGCTCATTCGCGACGGGCGAGGCGACGAGATCGTTCAAGAGACGAGGACGTGGGACGAGGGCAGGCAGCGCACGGTGAGCATGCGCAAGAAGGAAGGCCTCGCGGACTACCGGTACTTCCCGGAGCCGGACCTCCCGCCGCTCGTGTTCGACAACGCGTATGTCGACGGCGTCAAGGCGGAGATGCCGGAGTTGCCCGCCGCGATTCGCGCGAGGTACGCGGCGCTCGGCTTGCCCGACGACGCCGTGCAAGTCTTGGTCGAAGACAAGGCTCTCGTGGAGTACTTCGACGCGACGATCGCCGCGGGCGCGCCCGCGAAGCAGGCTGCGAACTGGCTCACCGGCGACATCATGGCGTACCTGAAGAACGCGAAGGACGTGACGATATCCACGATGCCGCTGCGCTCGAAAGATCTCGCGGAGTTTTGCTCGATGATCGAGAACGGCGAGATCAGCGGCAAGATCGGCAAGGACATCCTCCCGGACCTCCTCGTCGGGGAGACAGGCGGTGCGGGGCCGCGCGCGATCGTCGAGGAGCGGGGGCTGAGCCAGATCTCCGACCCGGCGGAGATCGAGGCGATCGTGGACAAGGTGTTGGAGGAGAACCCTGGACAGTTGGAGCAGTACAGAGGCGGGAAGGACAAGCTGAAGGGGTTCTTCGTCGGGAAGGTGCTCGCCGCGTCCGGCGGACGCGCGAACCCGGCGCTGTCGAATCAGATCCTGATGAAGAAGCTCGCGGGCGAGTAGTGACGAGTCGTCGCGAGTAGTGTTGTAGTAGCGATTACGTATCACGAGTTTAGTCGTCACTCACGCGTCAGTCGCGCGCACATACAGTATGCGATGCGTACACCTACAGTCTGACAGCGTCTTCTACAGTAACTCATCTTGAGCCGGCGACGGCGGCGTCCGCCCTCTCGAAAAAGTTTCGCGGCGACCCGTCCACCAACCTCCCCACGCCGCACGCGCTCCCCTCCGGCGCGTCCCCGACGCACCCGCGCTCGCACCAGTCGACGTACTTCGCGATCAGCTCGTTCACGACGCGCGGGGACTCGTGCGCGGGGCAGTGCCCGCATTTTTCAATCTCGTAGTACGTCGCGGCGGGCGCCGCGCGTTTCGCGCGTTGCCCCCACAACGGCACCACCCACGGGTCCTCCCGGCCGTACATCAGCGCGATCTTCACGCCGCGCCGCTCCTCGCGCAGCCTTCGCAGCATCTCGTCGAAGTCTATCGACGCCTTCGGGGACCACACGACGCTGCAGAAGGCGTCCAGGGCGTTGGCGTCGTTCGTCGGCGCGATGATGTTCTCGACGAGCGCGTCGTCCACTCGCTCCTTCGAATCGTACACCAACGATAGCAACCCCTTGACGTTCGCGGCGCTTCGGAACGAGTCCCAGTACAGCCTCAGCGGCGCGCGGATCCATCGCGGCGTCGGCAGCGCGCCCTTCCACGGCGCCCACTTAGCGTCGTCCGCGGACGTGAACGCCCAGAACGGCGTCGCGTTGAGGAGGATCACGCCGCGGATGAGATCTTCGTTCGCGCAGCTGGCGGCGACGTACGTCGCTAGGTATCCGCCCAGGCTGTTCCCCGCGAGGTACACGGCGCGCTTCTTCTTCTCCCCTCCATCTCCACCCGCGAGGTGCACGCGCTCGAGGAAGTCCTCGATCTGGTCGCGCCACGTCTCGACGGAGTATCGAAACCCCGGCGCCGCGGCCTCTCCCGCGGGCGGCCACGACGCGCCCTGCCCCACGAGATCTATCGCCCACACGCACAGCTGTGCTTCCTCGCCCATCATCATCGGCAACTCCGCGAGCTGGGACTCGTAGTGGAACGTCCCGACGCCGAAGCCGTGGAGGAGGACGACGTGTCGAGACGCGTCGACGCGCCCGGAGCGCTCGTAGTGGACGTCGTGCCCGCGCCAGCGGTACCGCGCGTCGACGCGCTCGTCGTCGTGGGACGACGACGACGCGTCCGCCGACGACGTGGACGCCGCCGCGTTGGAGGACGCGCGCGCGACGACGACGACGCGCGATCGCGACGCGCATCGCGCGCGCCGCGCTCTGCTCGGCCGCGGCGTCGCCGCGCGCGGCGACGGCGACGGCGACGGCGCGACGCGCGCCGCGGCGGACATGTCGTCGGCGCGAGCGAGAAGTGATGAGCGTCCGCGTCCGCGAGGACGAGATCTGATTTTCTGCGCGCGATTTTTCTGTGGCGCGTGGCGCGTCCGGTCAGGCGTCACGTCACCGCGCGGCTGGGCAAAGGCACCCCGCGGATGAGGTGGCAGCACGGCGACGCGCGTGATCCGAAAGAAACGCGGTTTTTTCTCGGGCACTCCGAGCGACACGGCGTCCTCTCCCGCGGCACGATGTCCGTCTCTCGCTCCTCCCGCTCCGCGCTCGGGCTCTTCCGCCGATTGGCGGTGACCCCCGGCGCGCCCGCGCGCGTCTCCAGCCCCGCGGCGTGGGCGATGGTGCGTCCCGCGCGCGGTCGACGCGACGACGCGTCGCATCTTTTCGCATAGCTTTTGAACAACGACTAACTCGAGATCGACGTCGTCGTCGTCGTCGTCGTCGTTGTCGCGCCTCGGTCCCCTCGCTGACGCCGTCGCGCCCTCTTCTCCTTCCGACCAGGCCGCGCCGCTGTCGACGATGGCGAACGGCCGCGCGTCCATCGCCGCGGCGTCGTCCTCGATGCGATCGGGGATCGCGAACGTCCTCGGGTTCGCCGCGGTCGCGACGACGCGATCCATCGCGACCGAGACGCTCCGTCCCCTCGACTCTTTCGAGCGCAGGCACAACTCCGCGACCAAGGAGGAAGAGATCGAGATGGCCAAGTACGTCGGCTTCGACTCCATGGACGCGCTCGTGGACGCGACCGTCCCGACGGACATCCGCCGCGCCGGGGAGATGGACATGGGCGAGTGGACGTCGCCTCTCTCGGAGAGCGAGTACCTCGCGCGATTCAAAGCGATGGCGTCCAAAAACAAGGTATTCAAGTCCTACCAGGGCACGGGGTACTACGGCACGCACGTCCCGCCGGTGATCCTGCGCAACGTCCTGGAGAACCCGGGATGGTACACGCAGTACACGCCGTACCAGGCGGAGATCTCCCAGGGCAGGCTCGAGTCGCTCCTCAACTACCAGACGATGATCAGGCGCGTCCCACATACTGGTTCCCATACGACCGCGTCGGCGTGGTGAACGCCGATCCTTAAGGACTTTTGCGGGCGCATCTCTGCGCCCACCCCTCGGTTTCAATCCCGACACACCTCGACGCCTTTCAACTCCAACTGACGCCTTTCAACTCCACCCCGACATCCGCTCGTATGGACCCTCGACCCTCAGCGACCTCACCGGCCTCCCCATGGCCAACGCGTCGCTTCTCGACGAGGGCACCGCCGCCGCGGAGGCGATGACGATGTGCAGCGCGATGAACCGCGGCAAGAAGCCCAAGTTCCTAATCTCGGACAAGTGCCACCCGCAGACGATCGCGGTGTGCGAGACGCGCGCGGACGGCCTCGGCCTCGAGGTGGTCGTCGCCGCGGAGTCGGATTTCGACTACGCGTCCAACGACGTCTGCGGGATTCTGCTGCAGTATCCCGCCACCGACGGCGCGGTGATCGACTACTCCCCGGTCGTGGAGAAGGCGCACGCCGCGGGCGCCAAGGTGGTCGCCGCCGCGGACCTCCTCGCGCTGACCGTGCTGCGCCCCCCCGGGGAGTGGAAGGCGGACATTTGCATCGGCAGCGCGCAGCGGTTCGGCGTCCCCATGGGCTTCGGAGGGTGCGTTCTTTACACTGGTTCCCATACGACCGCGTCGGCGTGGTGAACGCCGATCCTTAAGGACTTTTGCCCGTCGTCTCTCTCCGCCTACCCCCCGCTTTCAATACCCGCCCTCGGCGCCTTTCAACGCCAACTGACGCCTTTGAACTCCTAGGCCGCACGCGGGATATCTCGCGACGTCGCACGAGTACAAGCGCCTGATGCCGGGGCGCATCATCGGCGTGTCCGTGGACGCGCAGGGCGAGCCCGCGTTGCGAATGGCGATGCAGACGCGCGAGCAGCACATCCGGAGAGATAAGGCGACGTCGAACATCTGCACCGCGCAGGCGTTGCTCGCGAACATGGCTGGGCTCTACGCCGTCTACCACGGGCCGGAGGGGTTGAAAAACATCGCCGACAAGACGCACGCGCTCGCGTCCATCTTCGCCGCGGGCGCGAAGAAGCTCGGGTTCACGCCGCCCACCGATCCGTTCTTCGACACCGTGTCGCTCGGGTGCCCGAACGGCGCGGACGCGGCGGTGGAGGCGTGCCGAGCGAAGGGCATCAACATTCGCAAGCTGGACGCGTCGCGCGTCGCGGCGTCGTTCGACGAGACGACGACGCCGGCGGACGTGGACGACCTCTTCGCCGCGATGAACGGCGGGAAGGCGCCGGACTTCTCCGTGGCGTCCCTCGCCGGCGGCGTCTCCCCCGCGATCGCGCCGGGGCACGGGCTCGAGCGCACGTCGCCATACCTCACGCACCCGGTGTTCAACGCCTATCACAGCGAGCACGAGATGGTGCGGTATCTCGCGCGTCTGGAGCAGAAGGACTTATCGCTCGTGCACTCGATGATCGCGTTGGGGTCGTGCACGATGAAGCTCAACTCGACGACGGAGATGATGCCCGTGACGTGGCCAGAGCTCGCGAACATCCACCCGTTCGCGCCGAAGGAGCAAACGCAGGGGTACCAGGAGCTGTTCGACGCGCTCACGGAGCAGCTCGTCGAAATCACCGGCTTCGACGGGATGTCTCTGCAGCCCAACAGCGGCGCGAGCGGCGAGTACGCCGGCCTCATGGCGATCCGCGCGTACCACCAGTCCCGCGGCGATCACCACAGGAACGTGTGCATCATCCCCGTGAGCGCGCACGGCACGAACCCCGCGTCCGCGGCGATGGTGGGCTACAAGATTGTCGTCGTCGGCACGGACGAGGCGGGTAACATCAACATCCCGGAGCTCAAGGCGGCGGCGGAGAAGCACAAGGATAACCTCGCGGCGCTCATGGTGACGTACCCGTCCACGCACGGCGTGTACGAGGACGGCATCAAGGACGTCTGCGACACCATCCACAAGTACGGCGGCCAGGTGTACATGGACGGCGCGAACATGAACGCGCAAGTCGGGCTCACCTCGCCGGGGTTCATCGGCGCCGACGTCTGCCACCTTAACCTGCACAAGACGTTTTGCATCCCGCACGGCGGCGGCGGGCCGGGGATGGGGCCGATCGGCGTGAAGAAGCAGCTCATGCCGTTCATGCCGAACCATCCGAGCGCGGAGCTCGACGGCGCGATCGTCGCGGGCGGGGAGACGCCGTTCGGGGTGGTCTCCGCGGCGCCGTACGGGAGCGCGTTGATTCTTCCGATTTCCTTCGGGTACATCGCGATGATGGGATCCAAGGGGCTCACTAACGCGTCCAAGCGCGCCATCTTAAACGCGAACTACATGGCGAAGAGGCTCGAGGACCACTACCCGGTCTTGTTCAAGGGGAAGAACGGCACGTGCGCGCACGAGTTCATCCTCGACTTGAGGCCGCTGGGGGACTCGAGCGGCGTCGTCGTCGAGGACGTCGCCAAGCGTCTGATGGATTACGGGTACCACTCCCCGACGATGTCTTGGCCCGTCTCCGGGACGCTCATGATCGAGCCCACGGAGTCGGAGTCGAAGGCGGAGCTCGACCGGTTCTGCAACGCGATGATCGCGATCAGGGAGGAGATCCGCGACATCGAGAACGGCGCGATGGACAGGGAAAACAACCCGTTGAAGCACGCGCCGCACACCGCGTCCGTCGTCATGGGCGACGAATGGGACCGCCCGTACAGCCGAGAGACGGCGGCGTTCCCGGCGCCGTGGGTGCGCGCGTCGAAGTTCTGGCCGACGAACAGCCGCGTCGACAACGTGTACGGCGATCGTAACCTCGTCACGACGCACGCGTCCGTGGAGGTGTCCGCGGAGGAGACGGCGTGAGCGGCGTGAGCGACCGAGCGACTCGGCTTCGCGGTCGGGCGCGATTCGTTTCGTTTTTTTCGTCTATGAGCGACGACGACGGCGGGTCGTCCGGGAAGCGACGACCGGAGGAGGTTGGGGGTGATGCGATGCTGTACGAGTACTCGTGAACGCGGCGGGACGCGTTGATTGTTTTTTGTGAATATCCAAACGCATGTTCGTAGAGAAGAATCGCGCGCGGCGTCGCCTCGCCTCGCTCGTCCCTCGCCCTCGCCCTCCGCGGTTCGAACAGAAATATCTATGTCATGTCATATGTCAGGCCTCATCAGGCACCGCTGAGTTGTCAAAAACTCGGCCGTGTTTAACAACGTTCACTTGCTCGCGCGCGGAGGAGACGCGACGAGCGAGATGGTCCCCGCGAACGTCCCCCCCGCGATCGTCGCCGCGCGCGCGACGGGCACGTCGCGCCCGAACAGCGCGCGGCCGACGCAGCCACTGCGGACGACGCACCGCGCGATCGCGAAAGCGCCCGCCGCGAACAAAGGCCACCATCAACATCCGCAGCGCGACCAGCAGCGCCGACGCACGCGATCGCGAGCGGTGGACGACTGGCCGGAGACGTACCCGGGCTACGACGACGCCGCGCCCGCGCCGGAGGCTCCGCCGCCGCCGCCGCCGCGCCCCGAGAGCGTCTCCTCGCTCTTCGTGCACTACTACCGCCACGACGGCTTCGCGCACCAGTTCGGGATGCACGTCTGGGACGACGTCTACGATCCGACGCCGTGGGACGCGCCCCTCGCGCCGGGCGTCGCGGGCGCGTTCTGCGACGCGACCGATCGCGTGCACACGGAAGGGTGGGTCACGTACGAGGTGAAGCTCCCGCCCGAGGGCGCCAAGACGGTCAGCTTCGTCATCCACCGCGGCGAGGAGCAGTGCGTGCGAATCGAGGGCTTGGACGTCGAGGCGATGGCGACGCGGCCGTCGTCGTCCATCTTCGTCGTCTCCGGACAGGCTCAGGCGCGTTCTATCTCACACTGGTCCCCATACGACCGCGTTCGCGTGGTGAACGCCGATCCTTAAGGACTTTACTTCCCGGCGTGTGTTTCTCTCCGCCCAGGGTCCCTCGCTTTCGATCCCGACGCACCTCGACTCGACGCCTTTCGACTCCGCTCGCTTCTGACGCCTTTCGACTCCGCCCCGACGTTCGTTCGCTCGCGCGGACCCTCGACCCTCAGTTTTTCACCGAGGAGCCGGACGTCGCCAAGATGGCGAGGGCGTGGGGGTGCGACCTCACCAAGGCGCGCGCGGTGTGGCTGACGCGCGATATCGTCGCCGTGCCGTTCCACGTCGACCCGGAGGACCTCAGCGGCGTCTTCGAGCTCGTCGCGAGCGACCGCGCCGGGCTCGTCGTCGACGACGATCACCGCTCTCTGCGCTCCGTCCGCGGCGACGCGCTCGTGACGCGGATACGTCTGATCCCGCCCAGCGACGACGCCGGCGGGTGGACCGCCCCGGACGCGATCGCCGCGGGGGAGAAGTTTCCGCACGTAAAGCACGCGGGGTACTGCTGCTTGCGTCTGCCGACGACGCCGACGAGCACGCCGGACGTCGCGCGTTTGCTCAAGTCGCAAATCGCGGTCGCGAAGATCGAAGACTACGGCGACGGCTACGTCAACGCCGCGACGTCGGTGCAAACGCACGGGGCTATCGACGACGTGTGTGGCGGCTACGAAGGCGCGCTCGGGTGCGAGCTCACGAAGGACATGCAGTCCGTGATGATTCGTCTGTGGGCGCCGACGGCGCAGAGCGTGAGGCTGCGGCTGTTCGACGACGCGCGCGGAGACGGCCCGCGGGAGACGATCGAGATGCGAGAAAATTTCGAGGGTCCCGGGGTGTGGAGCGTGAAAGGCCCGCGGGAGTGGTACGGGAAGTACTACCAGTACGAGATCGTGACGTACCACCAGTGGGGCGGCGGCGCTCCGGAGGGCGGCATGGGGAACGTCACGACGTCGATCGCGACGGATCCGTACGCGCGGTCGCTCTCGTCCGACGGCGAACGCGTGCACATCGTGGACGTCCGGAACGACCCGGCGCTGAAACCGCCGGGGTGGGACCGTTTAATCAAACCGTACCCGACCGGCCCGGATCCGGCGCCGACGGGGCGGTACGAACCCACGGACATGGCCATCTACGAGCTTCACGTGCGAGATTTCAGCGCGCTCGACGAGACGGTGCCGGAGCGCTTGCGAGGGAAATACGGCGCCTTCGGCGTCCAAAACGCGACGTGCACGAACCACCTCGCGTCGCTCGCGGACGCGGGGCTCACGCACGTCCACCTCCTCCCCACGTACGACTTCGGTTCGGTGCCGGAAAAGCCGGAGTGGCAGGAGTGGGTCGATCCCGAGTACCTCGCACGGTTCGAGAGCAACTCGGAGGAACAGCAAAAGGCGGTGGCGGCGGTGGCGAACAACGACGCGTTCAACTGGGGGTACGACCCGGTGCACTACGGCGTCCCCGAGGGATCGTACAGCACGGACCCGGACGGGAGCGCGCGGATAATCGAGTACAGGCAGATGGTGAGCGACCTCGCGCGGATGAACCTGAGAGTCGTGTGCGACGTCGTGTACAATCACACGCTCTCCGCGGGACCGGAGGATCGACAGAGCGTGTTGGATAAGTGCGTGCCGGGGTATTACCACCGGCGAAACTTCGACGGGAACTACGAGCAGAGCACGTGCTGTAACAACACCGCGAGCGAGAACCGGATGATGGAGAAGCTCATCGTGGACGACCTCGTGCACTGGGCGAAGGACTACAAAGTCGACGGGTTTCGATTCGATCTGATGGGCCACCTGATGCTTCGAACGGTGCGACGCGCGAGGGACGCGCTCGATCGACTCACGCTCGAACGCGACGGCGTCGACGGGAAGTCCATATACATGTACGGCGAAGGGTGGGACTACGCGGAGGTTGAACGGAACCGCGTCGGGGTGAACGCGTCGCAGAAGAACCTCGCGGGGACGGGGATCGGGAGCTTCAACGACCGCCTGCGCGAGGGCGTCATGGGCGGCTCGCCGTTCGGCGATCCTCGCGTCCAAGGCGTCCTCACCGGTCTCTTCTTCGACCCGAACGGGTTCATCGATCAAGGCCCGCCGGAACGGCAGTACGAGGAGCTCACGAAAGACAGCGAGAAGGTCATCGTCGCGATGGCGGGCAACCTCGCCGGGTTCAAGTTCATGAACCGAGAGGGGTTTGAAACCGAGGGCAAGCACGCGTGTTGGTTCGACTCTTTCGTCGCGTACGCGGGGGAACCTTCCGAGACGGTGAACTACGTCTCCGCGCACGATAACGAGACGCTGTTCGACGGGATCACGCTCAGGTCGAACCCGGACGTGCCGATCGGCGTCCGGTGTCGGTTGAACCGCGTCGCGATGTCGATCGTCGCGTTCTCGCAGGGGGTCCCGTTCTTCCACGCCGGCGACGAAATCCTGCGGAGTAAATCCCTCGATCGCGACTCGTACAACAGCGGCGACTGGTTCAACCGTCTGGACTACAGCGGCGACACGCACAACTTCGGGATCGGACTCCCCGGTCGCGAGAAGAACGGCGACCGGTACCCGTACATCTCGCACCTCCTCGGCGACCTCTCCTCGCGACCGAGCAAAGAGGAGATTCTCCGCGCGTCGGATCATTTCCGCGAGTGCCTCGCGATGCGCCGGTCGTCGCCGTTGTTCCGCCTCCGCGCGTTGGACGAAATCAACCGCCGGTGCACGCACTACAACGTCGGGCCGCTTCAGCAGCCGGGCGTGTTCATACTTCACATAAGCGACGACCCCGCGGACGGCGTCCGGGAGATTTGTCCGCACTTTAAGAGGGTGCTGGTGTGCGTCAACGTGTCGCCGCATACCAAGCCAATCGTCGACGAAAATTTAAAAGTCGCTCTGGCGGGGTCGGAGATGATGCTGCACCCGCTGCAAGGGAAGGTGTCGCCGGACGCGTACTTGGATCCGGGGCCGGGGGGGTGCGCGTGCGAGGGGGGGGTGCCGACGGTACCGCCGCACACGGTCGCGGTGTTCGTCGAGATGCGGTGATGGCGCCGCGCGCGAGAGAGTCGCCGTGTACGTGTTGTCTCTAAATCATCATTCTTTCACTAAGGTTATTTCTTCTTCACTCTTCGACGCGCGCGCCTCTTCGCGACGCCCCGGAAGCGATAGCGATGACGGCGTCCGCGGCGACGGCCCGCGCGGCGTCGATCGCGGTCGCGGCCGCCGCCTTCCGCGATCCCGCCGCGCGACGCCGTCGTCGTCGCGCGGCGACCCGCGCGCCCGCCGCGTCGAACGATGACGACGTCGCGTCGACGTCGGCAGCCTCGGACGAGGAGCTGATTCGACGGCTCCACGTCGCGTTCCTCGCCGTGCGACGCGGCTCTCGGTTCGCCGCGCAGGAGTTCGCGCTCGTCGCGACGGACGCGTACGAGCACGGCCTCTCCGTCGCCTCCTTGCGCATGGACGTCGCGCTGTTAGGTCTGTCCACGTCGAACGCGATGGGCATGAGCGAGCAAGACGCCTTCTTATCGCACTACGGCATGTGCGCGATGACGCTCTTCGAGCTGAGCTGGCCGTCCCCGCGCGGCGGCGTCGACTGGTGCCCGGTGGAAAACCTCGAGGAAGACAGAGAAGCGAACGGGCTGCTCAAGTACATCCGCGCGACGTTCGCGCAGAGCGACGCGGGGTTCAACCTGAAGCGCATGGAGATGGAGAGGCTGCTCGCGATTCAAGCGCGCGAAGCCGGCGACGACGACGCCGTCGACGACGTCCCCGCCGCGGAGAAGGGCATCGGCGGGCGAGGGAGGGAGCGCGGCGCCGCGGGCGCGGCGACGCGCGAGCCGCCGTCCGTGCTGTTGATGCGCACGAACGTCAGGCTGACGCTGTTGTTGCGGGAGATGGTGTTGTTATCCCGGGGGTTGAACCCGGTGAGCAGGGTCATCAGCGCCGCAGACTACGAAGCCGACGCCGAGGCGGCGGAGCGCAAAAACGTGAAGAACGCGTACGCGAAAGACGCGTGGGCGGCGGAGGACGGCGACGGCGACGCAAAGAAACGCATAGAAGACGCCGGTTACGACGGCGACGACGGTGACGAAGACGACGACGACGCGCAGAGCCCCCAGGTGGCGTTGGAGTGGTGCGTCGCGCCGCGCACGCCGGCGAGAACGCTCGCGGCGGGCCTCCTGACGTCCTACGTCTCCGTCCTCACGACGCACCCGGTCGGCCTGCGCGCGTTCGCAGCGCGCGCGATCGAGGCGTACAAATCCGGGATACCCGCGAGAGAGATCACCGCGGCGCTGCGGCCCGCGGAGTTTGACGTCGAGGTGAGCAGAAGAGGGATGTTCGGCGACTCCGCCGACGCGACCAAGTTTTTCGCGTTTTACGTCACCACCGCCTACGCCGTCGCGCAAGAGCGCGGCCTCCTCCCCGGGTTCGACGCGTCCGAGATCGACTCGGACGCGACGCGAGCGGCGATCGCGGCGGCGTCGGACCCGGATGCGTTCGCGTGGGCGCCCGCGCCCGGCGAGGAGGCGAGCGACGCCGCCGCCGCCGCCGGGAAAAAAACCGTCGCGGGGATGCGGCCGAGCGTAGCCGCCTGGATTGATATGGACCAGGAAGAGCTCGACGCGAAGGTGCGGACGCAGCTGAGCGTGGACGAGGACGAGGACGTGGACGTCGGCGCCACCGTGGACGATGCGGACGCGGTCATGGGGAAGGACGGCGTTTTCGGCGGGGGCGAGGGAGGCGGCGGCGGCGGCGGCGGCGGCGGCGGCGGCAGGGCGAGGCCGCCGGGGTTTGAGAACTTCACGCGCGACGACTTCTTGTCGGGGAACTCGATCACGATCGCCGCGCTGACGATTCAGCGGATGATCGTGTCGTTCACGCTGCAGGAGATCGAGCGCGCGGAGGCGTAGCAGCGGTGAGGCGGTATCATTTCAATCGAACCTAATATAATATAATCGAACCTAATATGATACGTCGTCACGCGTCGTGCGCGGAGATGAACGCGTTGACGCCGTCGAGAAAAAACGCGCTCCTGTCCAAGTGCACGCACGACCCCGCGCCCTCCACCTCCTCGAACGCCACCCCCGACTTGTCCATGACCCCTCGCGCGAGTCCGTCCACGACCTCCATCGCCGCGTCGCGCGACAGCGCGTCGTTCTCGCCGCGGTACACCTTCACCGCGCGCACCCCCGACTCCGCCGCCGACGCCAACCTCCCGTTGGCGTCCGCGTCCCAGTCGCTCAGCGCGCCGTCGACGGCGAACATCTTCCCCCCGGCCATGTCCTTCCACACCGCGGAAGACGACCGCACGCCAACGTCCGACGCCGGGGTGTTACGCAACGCCCCGAACCCCTCGCCGGCGCCGCCGACGCGCAGCCCCTCGTAACACGCCCCCGCCGCTCGCGCGCTGACCCTCGCGTCGATCCACGCCGCCATCGCCTTGTCGTACAACGCCCTCCCCGCGTCGCTCAGCGCGGACCCGCCCCCCGCGCCCGCGTCGCCTTCCATCAGAACCTCCGCGTAGTCCTGTCGAAACCCGGGCGCGGACAGCGACGCGACGCGGTCCTCGATCAGCCGTTTATACGACGGCGGGGCCGATATCAACGTCACGCTCGCGACGCCTTTGCCGCCGCCGCCCGGTCCGAGCGCGTGGTCCAGCGCCAGCATCGCGCCCCACCCGTGCGCGACGATGTGCACCCTATCCAACCCCGCGGCCTCTCTGATCGCGGTCAGCTCCGCGTCGAAGAGTTCCGGGGTGAACGTCCCAGGCGGCGGCGGCGCGCGAACGGCGCCGTCCGAGAGCCGAGGCTTGAGCGCCGACCTCGCGCAGCCGATCTGATCGTACGACGCCACCTCCCTCCGCTCGCTGGCTAACACCTCGCACGCTTCCATGTACTTAAACCCCAGCCCCGGGCCGCCGTGGAGGCAGAGCACGGGGAGGTGATTCGCCTCGGACGCGACGGCTTGCGAGCCGAGCACGCGAAGGAACGTCTTCGCGTCCGGGATCTTCGTCGCGTTGGAGACGTCGACGAAGCCCTCGCTCCACGGCGTCTTGAACGCCCACTGCGGCGTCACGGACTGGTTCTCCGCGTAGTACCCGCAGAAGAGGTCGTCCGCGCGCGCGGGGCGCGCGGGGAGCAGCAGCGACGCCGCGGCGGGCGCGGACGCGAGGAGGAAGTCGCGACGAGAGGGCGAGGAGGACGCCGCGATCGATCGGCGACGGCGATCGCTATCGGCGGGCATCTCGAGGACGACGCGCTCCTCCGAGGACGACGACGACGCGCGAAGACGCGACGTTCGACGGCGTCGCGACGACGACGGCGTCCGCGTCGCGGCGACGGCGGAAGGCGGCGCGAGCGCGGCCATGACGGCGCGCGGGAAGGGAGGCGCGCGGGCTCGAGTGCGGGCTCAGCGCGCGACGCGACTCAGCTCATCCAGCATCTCGTCAGGTTCAGAGAAGTCGTCCAGGGCAACGGCGGCCGCCTCCACTTCACCGCGCGCGGATGCGTCTCGCGCACGCCGGGGCGAGAGGCGCGGCGCGGTGTCTCGCGCGTCCTCGCTGCCCCGCGCTCATCTTCCTCGCGAGCTCCGCGCCCCGCGTCGCGCCGCATCGCGCGCCGCCGACGCCGCCGCCGACGCGCGCGCGGCCGTCGCCTCCTCCTCCTCCTCCTCCACCTCACCATCGTCGCCGCGTCGTCGTCGCCTCATCGATGTCGTCGTCCTCGCGCGTCGATCCGGCCGCGGCCGAGGACGCGCCCGCGCCCGCCGCCGCCGCCGCGGAGTCGTACGACGCGCAGCTCGCGGCGATGAAATCCATGCGCGCGCGCGGCGCGAGCGCGGACGAGATGCGCGCCGCGGCGGCGAAGTTGAACCACCTCAAGCGCGCGCTCTTCGTGCCGCGGTACACGTCGTCGAGAAAGACTACCAAGCTGGAGAAGTCATCGTCGACGCCGCGCCGCCGCGCGATGCAAGGCCCGCGCGTCCGATGCCCCGCGTGCGGGCACGACGTGAAGGCGTCGCACCCGGACCAGTTCCGGCACCACGTCGCGAAGTGCTGCCCGGACGCGGTACGCGTCGTCCCGAAGGACGCGTGGACGGATCCCGCCGTCGCCGCGGACGCGATGGCGACGCGCGAGTCGACGCTCGCGGAGGAGGCGAAACTGCTCGCGTACGGGCCGGAGAAGCTGGCGTCCCTGGACGATGTCGCGGCGGCGCTCGAGCTGACGCCGCGGCGGCTCAGGCTGTTGCTTCGGCGCGCGTCGCTCGCGGTGCCGCTCGTCGCGGACGAGGAGAGATTGGAGGTGATACACGAGGACGACGCGATTCTCGTCGTGAACAAACCTCCGGGGTTGAGGTTCCACCCGGTGCATCGGTTCGAAGGGAACTCGCTCCTGTCGCGGTGCATCGGGCACATACGGCGGCGGCGGCGGCGACGACGACGCGCGAGCGACGACGGGGGTGAAGACGGGGGCGAAGACGCGGACGCGGACGGGGAAGAGAAAGTCGACGACGACGAAGACGCCCACGCCGACGACATGCCGCACATCGTCCATCGGCTGGACATGGACACCTCCGGCGTGTGCGTGTTCGTGAAGGATAAGTCCTTGGTCGACGGTTTCGCGCGGCAGTTCCGAGGTGACGACGCCGGGGTGAAGAAGGAGTACGTCGCCCTCGCGGTCGGGACCGTGCCCAGAGGCGATGTCGTCGCGTTCTCATCAGAAGCGGAGGAGGTCCGCGACGACGACGACGACGCCGCCGCCGCCGCCGCCGCCGCCGCCGTCGGCCGCGCGTTCGTCGTAGACGCGCACATCGGCGACCACGCGACGATGCCGGAGGCGCGCGCGGTGCATCCCCCACCTCTCGTCGCGTCCACGACGCGCGCGACCGACCCGAGCGCGGACGCGAGCGCGCCGAAACCGGCGACGACGGCGTGCGTCGTGTCGTCGTCGGCGGCGGCGCGCGACGGTCTCGTCGCGGCGCTCGTGCGATGCGCGCCTCGCACCGGACGCACGCATCAGATTCGACTGCACCTCGCGCTGGCGAACTTGCCGATCTTGTCCGACCCGCTGTACGGCCCGCACGTCAGGTTCGGCGGCGCGGCGATGGCGGAGAACGCGCGAGGGAAGGCGGGCGGAGAGGAGGAGGACGGCGGCGGCGGCGGCGATCGCGGGTACTTCGCGGCGGAGCTGGAGGGGTATTGGGGCGGCGACCTGTGGCTCGGGAGACAGGCCCTGCACGCGGCGTCGCTGACGGTTCGGCATCCGAAAACGGACGTGTCGATGACGTTTCGCGCGCCGCTGCCGGAGGACATGCGACGCGCGTGCGTCGCGTTAGGCGTAGACCCGGACGCGTAGTGATGAGGAATGTACTTTTACAAACATTCATTCGTCGCCGGACGCGAACGCCGCCGCGCTACCCTGCCAGCCCTGCGCGCGCCGCGTCACGGGGGCCTCTCGCCCTCGCCGCCGTCCTCCCCCCCGCGCGGCGCGAACGCGCCCGCGCCGAACGCCATCGCCTCTCGCCTCAGCTCCGCCAGCTTCGCTCGCTGCTCGTCCGTCATCGCTTCGATCGCGTCCTCGCTGAGCTCGCCGCCGGCGTCCACCCCGCGCGGGTAGACGCCGTCCATCTCGACGTGCGCCCCTCCCGCGTCGCTCGACGACGACGCCGCCGGCGGCGCGATCGCGCGGACGTACTTCCGCCACTGCGACGCGAACTCCGTCCACTGCGCGGCCGTCGTGGTGTCCGCGTCGATGTGCCGCCTGAACTCGTCCCTCGCGTACGAGCTCCCGAGCGCGCGCATCGGCTCCGGGAGTCGCGCGTGCGCGCGGACGATCGAGCGGTACAGCCGCAGGATCGCGCGCGCGCCGTCGGCGGTGGACATGTCGACCCGTTCGAGCGAGTGGACGTCCGCGCCGGCGCGGCGCGTTGTGGCGCCGCGCCGATCGCCGGTCCACTCGTGACGTGTCCAGTCGTCGAAAACAGAAGGCACCTCAGCGCTCCACGCCACGTCACTCTTCTCGTCGCGACATGGCGACGCGCGCGGCGTCCTCCGCGGCGGCGTTCGCGCTTCCCTCCCGCGCGCGCTCGTCCTCCTCCGCGTACGCGCACCGCCGCGCGGCGCTCCGATGCCGCGCGGCGTCGGAGACCGAGACCGGGTCGGTCGCGAAGGTTCGCGTCTTCACTGGCGCGCGCGCGGAGATCGTCTACGGCGCGAAGGATAACATGCTCGCGTGCGTCGAGCGCGAAGACGACGACGGCGTGCGCGCCGCGGTGGAGGAACTGAGAGGGCTGAACCCCACGCCCGCGCCCGCGAAGTCGCCGTCGCTGCTCGGGACGTGGCGCCTCGTGTGGTCCGAGCAATCGAGCGCGTCGAACCCGTTCCAGCGTCTGTTCGGCGCGATCGCGAGGGATAACTTTCAGGCGCGTTCTATACACTGGTTCCCATACGACCGCGTTGGCGTGGTGAACGCCGATCCTTAAGGACTTTGCTCGGCGCGTCTCTCCGCCCATCCCTCGCTTTCATTCCCCGGCCTCGACGCCTTTCAACTCCACCTGACGCCTTTGAACTCCACCCCGCCATCGCTTCGTATGGAACGGCCCTCAGATCGTAAACGCGGACGACACGCTCGAGAACTTGGTGCGGCTCGGCCCGCTGACCGTGTCCGCGATCGCGCCGATCGCGGCGGTGAGCGACGTTCGAACGGAAGTCCGCGTGTCCACGATCGACATCTCTCTCTTCGGCGCGGTCGTGAAGCGCATGGAGATGACGCCGACGCCGGGGCGCGGCGCGGGGTTCGTCGAGCAGATCTTTTTGGACGACGACATGAGGCGCGTTCTATACACTGGTCCCCATACGACCGCGTTCGCGTGGTGAACGCCGATCCTTAAGGACTTTGCCCGGCGCGTCTCTCCGCCCATCCCTCGCTTTCAATCCCCGACCGCGACGCCTTTCAACTCCATCTAACGCCTTTCAACTCCACCCCGACATTCGCTTGTATGGAACGACCCTGAGAGTCTCTGTGGGGAACAAAGGGTCCGTGTTCGTGCACGTGAAGGATGACGCGGCGGGCGGCGGCGGCGGCGGCGGGGGGGGGGATAGCGCTAGCGCCGCGGGGGAGGGGGCGGGAGCGACGAGCGTGGCGATAGCGAGGCGGGAGGACGCGCCGTAGAGTCGATTTGGCGTTTCGGTAATATATGTTTCATCTTTTTGGTTTTCGCGCGCGCGCGCCGACGCGACGCGACGCCGACGCGCGCTCGGGTTCAATCTCATGTTCCTTCCTCGCCGCGCCGTCGCTTCATCCGTGGAACCGCGGGTCCGCGGAGGACACCGCCCCCCCCCGCGGGTCGTCCACGGCGCTCCCCGGCGTCTCCGCTATCCCCGCCGGGGCGCTCACCGGCGACGCGACGCCCTCTCTCACTTTCGCGTACGGCAACGACGTCTTCCCCTCGCTCAGCGCCGCGACGTTCGCCTCCAACACCTGCTTCGGGAACTTCCCGACGACCATCCCTTCGCTCTTGCCCTCGTCGTCCAGGAACACGATGTGCGGGATGCCGTCCACGCCGTACTGGTCGATCTCCCCGCCCCACTTCGTGTTGTCGATGTTAAGCATCACGAAGTTGATCTTCTCACCAAACTTCTTCTCCACGTCGTACACCACCGGCGCGGACTCTTTGCACACCTCGCACCAGTCCGCGTAGAACTCGAGGACGGTCGGGCGGCCGTTGCGCAGCGCGACGTCGAGCGGGATCGCGTCCTTCTCCAGCGACGCGAGCGTGGGCGCGCCGCCGAGGGAGGAGAACGCGAAGAGCGCGACGCCGACGGCGAATCCCGCGCCCGCGATCGCTTTCCCGGGCGGGCCCTCGTCGGGTGGGGGGGGCGGCGGCGCGGTGGGGGAGTCCTCGCCCGCGCGGACGACGAGCGCGTCGCCGCGGCGCGGCGCGACGACGCGCGAGGGCGTCGCGGACGCGGAGGCGGAGGCGACGGCGACGGCGCGTCGGCGAACCGTCGTCGGAACCCGTGACGACGCTCTTCCCCCGCGAGAGCTCGACGTCGAGGACGCCGAGACGACGCGGCGCGCGGGGAGGACGGCGCGCGACGACGACGACGACGATGCGGCGGCGGCGGCGGCGGCGGCGAAGGTCATGATCGGCCGATGCGACGTGCGAAGGCGAGGGCGGGACGCGTCGGCCGGGCGTTCGGGTGTGACGACGCGAGCGATGGTTGACGAGGTTCTCGCATTCTCTCATCAGCAAGCACTGATAAATTTTTATCTTCCTCTTTCAGACGCTGTGAAGCGTACCCCATAAGACTTCCTCTCCGCGTCGGAGAGCTTCTTCCACTTCTCGCCGACCTTCTCGCGGACCTCGCCGATGGTGAACTTCGGGTGCGCGGCGACGATCTTGGGGCGCACCTCCTCGTAGAAGATCTTGTAAGCGCCCAGCGAGCGCTTGGACTTCTTCACCTCGGCGGCGTTATTCGCGGCGTTCTGCTTGGACGCCGCCCACATCTGCATCACCTTCGCCATGATTTCCGCGTCTTTCATGCCCGGATTCTCGGCCGCTAGTTTCGTGCAATCGTTCGTGAACGCGGTCGATATCGAGCTATTATCAGGTCTCCACAACTTCTCGAAATACGCCGCCGTGGTCCTCACTTGCGACAACACCAGTTTCTTCTCAGACTGTGAATTGAGCAATTGGTTCAGTGCAAACGGATCGTCAAGGAGCTGCGCGGGTACAGGAATAGCTCTAGCGGTTTTCGTTCTGCAGGTATGCTTGTGCGGGAATGCTCCACACGACCAGTCCATTTTCTGACACTCCTTGCTGCAGTAACACACCAATTTACAGCACTCGCACATTTTTAAGTCGGCGCTTTCCCCGCCACAGTTCCGACACCTGCGCATGTGCTTGAATTCCTCGCACGCGATCGCTGCTATGTCCAAGGCTCGGAAAACTTCAGATATTTGCTTCAGCGGCATAGCAGCCTCCCATATACTGAATTCACGACGATTGTTCTTTACCCACTCTGCGACCTCATTCACATGTTTTCCGCTGCTCCCCTCCGCAATCGCGCGAGCGCTCTCCAAGCCACACAAAACCGCGCCCGGATCGTTCACGATGTCGTCGCTGATTTCGAGCGCTCGGAGCATGAGAAATAGCCCGCGCACGGAGTTTCGCTCGCAACCGAATCCGTACGCGTGCGATGTGCCGAGGTCCCACAGTAACAGAGCTAATCCACAGAATCCGTAAGGTAACGCCCACTTTAGATTCGTTTGCGACATGTCTTCCGGTTCAAGTGGTTGACCACTCACGGGATCGCGCTCGAAACATCCACGGAAGCACGTGCCATTGCTGTAAGCCTTCTCCATCCATTTGAACGCCTCCGTGTCGCTCTGCTTAACTCCATGGCCTTGCCTGTAGTATGTAGATAAGATGTACATCTCACAAATATATCCATTGTTCGCACGGGCTTGCGTCTGTTGCAAGTCCTGTGCAGAGATAGGAGGCATACTCCATTCACCCGAAAAGATGTCAAATCCCCAAAACACACGAAACGCCACTTTTCCCGGTCCGGGGGAGAGGTGATCCGCGCGCGATGCGTCAGCGGTGGACATCGAGCGGAAACCGAAACGACAGCGAACGCGTCCGCGGCGGATGTGATACTCACGCGAGGTTCGCGCGAGCGCGGGCGACGCGCGCGCGAGTGCGCCCGCGTGTGTGCGCGAGATCTGACGACCGACGATTCGTTTTTCCTTTTCCGAGTTATCGCCCGCTGGGGAGATGAAAAGGCAGACGAAACCTCCTAACAACGCGCGGTCGGGTCGTCGCGTCCGCGTCGCTCCACGACGCGCGATCGACGACGCGACGCGGCGCTTCCTTTGAGCCGTATGTAGTAGTATTAAAACCTCACCTCACACGAACGCGCGACCCGACCCGATCGCCTCGCCCCATCAACCGATCAACCGATCAACCGCGTCCCGAGCCTCTCGAACTCCCCCGCCAGCGCCTCCGCGGCGCCCTGCTCCGAGCTCGGCACCTGCAACAGCCGCCGCGCCTCCCCGGCGTACCCCGCGCACACGTCCCCGAGCGCCGCGCGCACGTGCGACGCGTTCGCGCCGTACGCGTCGAACCCGCCGCCGCCAGTCTGCGTCTGCGTCTGCGCGGCGACCGCCTCGTCCCACCGCCGCATCACCCGCAACGCCGACCGCAACAATCGCAGCCGCAGCGCCGGCGTCTGCAACGCCTGCTCCTGCGCCAAGCGCCGGTCGTGATGCGCGCGCTGCACCGGCGTCGCGAGGAGCCGGTCGTACGCCGCGTGCACGGACTCGAGCGAGTCGCGCGTCGCGGAGAGGAGCGCGTCCGGGACGATACCGAGCTCGGCGGCGTCGTCGCACGGGCGCGTCGTCGCGAAGAGCCCGGCGGCCATGAGCTCCAGCTTGAGCGCCACGTGCGCGAGCGGGAAGGCTTGCTCGCTCGGATGCAGCTTCGGTCCGAGCTCGCGGACGCGCGCGCACGCCTCCGCGAGCGCGGCTCTCGGGTCGGGGTCGCCGGCGACGCCTTCGCCTTCGCCGCCGCCCGCGTCCGAGGCAGCCTGGGAGAGGAGGTTCTCCCAGAGCTCGCGCGCGACGGCGCCGTCGTCGTCGTCGTAGCGAGAAAAGTGTAACATCTCGAGGCACATCCCCCACAGCGCGCGCGGGCGTGCGTACTCGTTGTACATGTCGCTCAGAGGGCGCAGCTCGCGCTCGAGCTCGGTCGCAAAGCGCTCGTACTCGCGCGCGTCCGCGCCGCCGACGCGCGCGCGCTCGAGAAACGTCGCGCGCAGCCGCCGTTGAAACCGCGCCACGGTGATCTTCCCCTCCAGCGTCTCGATGAACGCGACGTCCGAGCTCGCCACGGCCCCGGCGCCGTTCAAGCTCGCGTCCCCGCCCGGCCCTCTCGACTTGGCGTGCGTCAGCGCGAGATCCAGCAGCGTCTCGCGCTCGTCCAGGGACACCGCCGCGCCCTGCGCCTTGCGCTCCGCGAGCGCGAAGAAGACTTGCGCGGCGAGGCCGTGGCGTTCCCTCGCCGCGTACAGCCGCGCGAGCAGCTCGAGGTGCCGCGCTTGGTCCTGCGACAGCGCGCCGCCCTGCTGCGCGACCGCGAAGGCGCCGCGCTCGGCGAGGTACGCCTCGAGCGGGCCCGCGGGGAGAGACAGCAGCTCCGCGTCTCGCTGGAGGGATTCGAGCTCGGCGTAGACGCGGCGGATGAATCCAAAGCCGCCGCCGGGGACGCCGCCGCCGTCGAGGCACGCGCCCGCCACCTCCGCGGGCGTCGCCGCGGCGACCGCGACGAGCGCCGCGGAGGGCGGGCGCGGGCGGTACGGCGCCGCGGGCGCGCCCGCGGCTTCCGCTTGCGCCGCGCGCTCGGCCGCCGCCGCGGCGTTCGCGCCGGCGGCTTTCGCCGCCGCGGTCGCCGCCGCCGCCGCCGCGGGCGACGACGCTTGCGCCGCGCGTTCGAGCACCGTCGCGAGCCCGCGCGCGCGCTCCTCCGCGGGGAGACTCGCGCAGACGCCGCCGAGGGAGAAGGGCGGCGCGCCGGGGTCCGCCGCGCCGGTCGCGAGCGCGCGGATCGCGACGCAGACGAGCTCCCAGCACTCGGACGGCTCGAGCGCGTTCGTCGCGCCGCCGCCGCCGCCGTCGCGCCCGATCATCGCGCCCAAACCGCCGCTCGCGACGCCGCCGTAGCCCAGGATGTTCGCGTCGTCCCCGGCCGCGGCGACGTTCGCGGCGGCCGCCGCCGCCGCGAGGGGGAGCGCGCAGAGGCCGTGGAAGCAGCGGAGATCCGCGAGCTCCGCGCACGTCGCGGCGACGTCGCCCGCGCGAGGGACGGAGAGCAGGGCGCCGAGGGATTCGGCGACGAATTCGTTGCACTGCTCGGGGTCGCGTCGATCGCGCGCGTCGCGAGCCGCCTGATGAAGAAGGAGGGATGAGACGAAGAAGAAGAAGGAGATCGGCGGCTTCGCGTCAGTCGGTGGTGATCGATCGAGGCGGGCGAGGTCGGGTCGGGCTTCCTTTTTCGGTTTTCGGTTTTCGGTTTTCGGTTATTCGATATCGGCGTCGACGGATCCATCCGCGCGCGAGTCACCGCTCAGTGGAAGGGCACCATAGTGTTTCACATCAACCTCGTGCGTCAGGGGATTGACAGATTGTATGTATGGGATCATCAACGCGCTGCTCGCGCGCGCGGTGGACCCCGCGCGCCTCGATCGAACGAACCGAACGAAACAGAAGAGCATTCCGGGAAAAAAAAAAAAAAAAAAACGACGGACGCGACGCGCCTGCAGCAGCTCCCTCGCGCGGTAAAACATCCGCTCGTCGCCCCCGAAGAACAGCGGCGCGCCGCTCTGCAGCCGCGCCGCGATCGCGTCCACGGACCCGCGATCCGTCCGCGTGTAGTACCCCATCAGCGCCTCCACGAGCGACGACGCGAGCCGCGCGCCCTCCGTCGTGCTCGCCAGGCGTCGCAGCGACGTCTGAGGGTCGAGGGTCCATTCAAAGCGACGAATGTCGGGGTGAAGTTCAGAGGCGTCAGAAGCGGAGTTGATAGGCGTCGAGGTGCGTCGGGATTGTGAGCGAGGGACCCTGGGCGGAGAGATGCGCCGCAGGGAAGAAAAGTCCTTAAGGAACGGCGTTCACCACGCGAACGCGGTCGTATGGGGACCAGTGTGAATACGAACGCGCCTGAGAGAGCGCCGCGCGCGCGTCGTCCGACAACGTCGCGGCGAGCCTCGTGAAGTCGTTCTCGCACAGCACGCGAAGCAACACGATCGCCTCGATCGTGCGGCGAAGCAGCCCGCGGAGCGACGCGATGCTGCGCTCTTCCGCGCGCAGCGCGCCCGCGGGGCCGTCCAACCGCCGCCGCTGCCGCGCCCTCGCGCCGCCGTTAACCCCGCCGCCGTGGCCGTGAGACTGTTTGCCCGTAGCAGTCGTCCGCGCGCGCCGCCTCGCCAAAAACGTCTCCAACGGCCGTAACCGACGCTCCAGGCTCGCGAGGACATCGCCGGGGAGCGTGCACGCGACCGGCGCGCCGGCGTGGTGCGTCGGGCGCAGCGCGTTCGCGAGCCATCCGGTCGCGGCGGCGCCGACGGCTTCCACGCCGTTCGCCGCCGCCGCCGCGAGCGGGTCCGTCGTCGACGTCGATCGACGCGCCGCCGACGCACCGTAGTGCATCGCGCCGCCGTTCACGCCGCCGTTGATCGACGCGCCGCCCCCCCCGTTCAGATGCGCCGCGGAAGCGCCCGCGCCGCCGCCGCGCGTCTGCCGCGCGCCCGCCGCGTGCTTGCTCACGACGACCGCGAGCGGGCGGTCCCACGTCGACTGCAGCAATCGCGCGGCGTACGCGTACGCCGCGCGATGCGCGCCGCTGTATCGCAACACCGGCTGCACGACGGCGCGTCCCATGTCGAACGGCCCGCCGCCGCCGCCGCCGGGGATCGAACCGCCGCCGCCGCCGTCGACGCCGTCCTCGTCGACGTGCGGCTCGCCCGTGAGCCGCGGGTCCTCGAGCGCTCGACGCGCGCGCTCGGCGAGGGTGGCGGCGCCGAGGGAGGCGCGCTCGTAGCCGCCGTCGAACCCGCCCGCCGCGGGCGACGACGACCCCGGGGTGCCTCCCGCGCCGGGAGAGCCGATGATCGTCCGGCGGCTCGCGCTCCCGAACGCGCCGGTCCTCGGGGAGGGCGATGGCGATCCGCCGAAGTACCCGCCCGCGCCGGCGTCGCGATCTGCGCCGCCGCGAGGGGACGGCGTCGCGCCTCCTCGCGCGTTGGCCGCGTCGACTTCAAACTCGCTCGACGCCCTCGCGTCCGTCGCGCCGCCGACGGCGATCGCGAGGCACATCGTCGCCGCCTCGCTCTGCCCGTGCGTCCGGAAGAACTGCGCGATCTGCTCGTGGACGTCCCCGGCGAGGAGCTTGCACAGCGCGTCCAGCGGCCGCGCCTTCTCGAGCTGCACGATCCCCGCGTTGGTGACGGCGACGAACCGACGCCGCGGCGCGACGAATTGCGTCGCCAGCTCCGTCCGCAACCGCGCCGGCGCCGTCGTCAGATCCCGCGGCGCGCCGAGCGGGAACGGCGGGTCGAGGTCGCGCGTCACGCTCCGCGGCGGCGGGACCTCGCCGACCGCGCCGACGGACGACGCCGCGCGCCCGACGAGCTGCTGCGTGGTGACAACCTCGCGGAGGGACCGCGCGTGCGACGCCGCGCCGACGCCGACGCCGCCGCCGCCGCCGCCCAACCCGGGGGAGCCCACGCCCACGCCCAACCCGCCGCTGTTGATCCCTCCAACCCCCATATGCCCGCCGCCGCCGCCGACGGCGGCGTCGCCGGGGGCGAGCTGCAGGTGCGGCGGCAGCGCGACGTCGCGCGCGGCCATGAACAATCGCGCGTCCTCGTCGCGGTCCGCGGCGTCGCACAGGAGGAGTAACCCGTCGCGGTAAAACGCCGCCTCAACCTCGAGCGGCCGGACCGTCGTCGTTGCCCTGAGCGCTTGCGCGGACGTCATCCCGCGCGTCGCGCTGCCCTGCGGCGGCGGCTCGCGCGACTGCACGACCGCGAGGCGGCACGCGGTGGGGACGCGGCGGCGCGCGTCGCGACCGAAACCGCCGCCGCCGCCGCCGTACGTGGACTGCGGCAGAGACGTAAAGTACACGCGCCTGCCGTCCGCGAGGACGGCGACGAGGGTCACCGTCGCGGACTCCGCCGCGGAGACGACCGCGATGTGCGTCAAACGCTTGCCTTTCTGCGCGTGCGAGGACGCGCCGCCGTGGCCGCCTTGGCCGCCGCCCGCGCCGCCGCCTCCTCCGCCGAATCCCCCGGCGCCGCCGAAGCCGCCGCCGCCGCCGCCGTACCCGCCGCTGAAGAGCCCGCCGCCGCCGCGCATCATCGCCGCGGCGCTCGCGACGTCCCTGCACTCCGCGATCCTCCGCGGGGTCTCGCCGCAGTCCACGCCGAGGTCGTACACCGCGACGACGCCGTTCTCCGACCGAGTGTACAGCGCGCATCGATGCTCGTCCACGCACACCTGCTTCAACGGATCGTTCGCGCGAAGCCTCAAGATGGACGGCAGCAACCGCGGCGTCGCGGAGTGGTGACACACCTTGCGGCACTTCCGCGAGCGCCACGTGTCCGCGGCGTTGTATTCGAGCTCGTACAGCGCCTCGTCGTCGCCGGCGAAAAACACGCGGCCGTTGTCGCACCCGGCGACGTCCTTCACGACGACGTCGTCCGTCGTGCAGCTGTAGTTTAACGGATGCAGCGTCATGCCGCCGCCCCAGGATCGCGCGCCGTTGCCGTCGGTCGACGCGCCGTCTTCCACGTCCGACTCGAACGCGACGCCGAGCAGCGCGATCTCCGTCGTCGTCGCGACGACGAGGACGCGCTCGATGGACGGCAGAAACACCCCGGGCTTCGGCTTGGCGAGACCTACGCTCACGATGGCCTGCTCCTCACCGGCGTACTCCACCGGAACGTCGTTCGGGACGTCGAACCGCCACAGGAACAGCGCGTTATCGACCGTCGCCCACGCGCGGCCGATGGACGGGAGCACGCCGCAGAAGCACACGGACTGACGCGTGCTGTAGCGTTCGAGAACCACCGAGGGGAGCTCCGTCGTCGTCATGGACGTGATCTCCGCGGGCCACTGCGTCGGGGAGGGCGGATCATCGCGTCGGGGTCAGGGAGGGGTCGCCGGCGCGTGCGGGGTCGTTCGGGATCGGAATCGGGATCGCGACGTGCGGAGGCGGGGAGGAGACGAGGAGGGCGAGGGGGGAAACGAGCGAGCGATGAAATGATTAAAGCGATCTTGGTTTGGCGGCGGCTCGACATCGGTCGCGCGACGCACCCCGAGCTGTTGGTACGAGTACGCCTCGCGCGGCGTCTCTCTCAGGAGCGTCATGAGATCGACGCCCTCGGACTCGGTCTGGAGCGAGGACACCATGCGCGCGGCCTCCTGCATCTGGTCCGCGGCTGCGACGGGAAGAAAGGCGAGGGGCGCGGAAGGGAGGGAGGCATACTGTATGTGAGCGAGGGCGTTCAAATCGCGAGCGAGGGCGGAGCGCGCCGCGTCGCCGCGCGCGCGGACGGCGATCCGCACGCGCCGCGGCGTCGACGCGATCGGCGTTCGAGCGCGACGAAGATCGAGATCGCGTCGCGCGGGGAACGGCACGCGGGGACGATCGACGCGCGATCTCGCGCCGTCCCCGCGCTCGGGCGAAGGTTTAGGCGCGAATTGAATTCGAGCGCCGTCTCCCCGGGCATCGACGCGACGAGCGGACGCGCGGGGGGCGACGTCGAGACGCGCGAGACGCACCGGTCGGACCAGACTCCCCGTCGACCTGCATGCCGCCGCCGAAGCCGCCCCCCTGCGCTGACGCGTACATCGGGCGGCTCTGCGCGAGCGATCACTGACGACGCGCGCGGGCGCGGCGAGCGCTCAGGAGTCCGACGAGGTCTTCCACTGCAAGCTGGCCCCGCCGGGTGGGCTCTCGCGCGCTCCAGTCAACCACTGCGTGCACGCTTTGAAAAAGCCCCAGGGGCGCGCGCGGCGGGGGGGGGGGCACAACGCACGACGCGCCGCGCCCGCGACGTCTCGTACCGCACCTCAACACCCCTCACGCGCATCATGAGCGTCGCGACCTTCGGCGCGGCCACGTGCGCGCCCGCCCGTCCGTCCCGCGCGCGCGCGATCTCGCGCCCGCCCCCCGGAGAAGACGCGTCGATTCGTTCGCAAACCGACACTTTTGATGTTGACCTTTCGCTCCCCGCGCCCTCCCGCAGGGACGAGCCTCGGAAAGGCCGCGCGATCTTCGCCGAGCGCGGGAACAGCGTCAAGTCCACGATCTACGGCGGCGACGACGACTACGTCCCCGCGGAGATGACCGCGACCGGGCGCAAGCACCTAGGCGCGTCCCCGCGTCCCCCCAATCTCGTCGTTCGTTCGTCCTCCAGTCGTTGCCGCGGGCGCGCTCCCGTCGACCGCATCGCGTCTCTTCGCGTCGACCGACGAAAATCTCCTCCCCGCCCCACCCGCCGATGCGACCCGCAGCCCCGCCGCCGGGCGACACCCCGTTCGCGATGGGCGCGCACGAGATTCCCGCGCCGGCGCGATCGAACGGCACGCCCTACAGCAAGAACAGCAAGTTCGACGTGGGCGCAGCGAAAGTAGGCGCGGGCGGGTTCGACTACGAGCAGAACCAGACCAACTACGAGATGGCGCAGATGCAGGCGGCGAACATGAAGGCGCGGAACCAGGGCGGGTACGGCATCTTCAACAGCGAGTGATCGGCTTTTGTCGCCGGTCTGTTGGTCGACTCGGGGGTCGGGGACGGAGCGGGCGGATGTATATTTTTGAACGCGGGGAAACGGGAACGAAAGGACGGGGAAGCGGCTGCGCTACGTAAATCACGCGCGAACGCGATCGCACTGAGGATAGAGCGGAAGGAACGAGCGCGAGCTCGGCGGAGGAGTGATACAGAACGAAGGGGGTGCGGCGACGACCCCCCACAGACGATATCATTTATCGACTTGACCTTGTACGAGTACTTGCATCAGAAAACAGAACGACTCTCGCGCATTCGCGGACTAACGACGTAGTGGGGCTACGCGTCGCTCGTCAGTACCTCCTGTTGGACTTCGCGGACGGTATCGGGTTCCCTCTCCAGTCCGTCTTCAGGCTGTTTCCGCCGCCGCTGGACGCGGAAGGTATCGGGTTCCCGCGCCAATCCGTTTTCAGATCGCCGCCGCCGCCGCCGCCGCCGCCGCCGCGCGCCGGAGACCGGCTCCTGCTCCGCGCGCGCTTCCTGTCCCTCGACCCGTCCCTTCGCCGGTCGCGGCTTCGGTCGCGGTCTCGATCGCGGCCCCTCCCATCCCGTGAGTCCCTGTCTCTGTCCCTGTCTCTGTCGCGGTCTCTGTCGCGGTCCCCGTCTCTGTCCCCGCCTCCGTCCCTGTCTCTGTCTCTGTCCCTGTCTCTGTCGCCGCCGCCGCCGCCGCCGCCTCTGAACTGCTTCTTCAAGTTCCCGAAATCGTCGTACTTCTCCTTCTCCTCGTTCTCCCTCCGACGGCGCCGCGTCTCGAGACGCTCGGCCTCGTCGTCGATCTCCCTGTGACCGCCCCCGCGCCCCTCTCGGCGCTCCTTCTGACTCCCGCCCTTCGGATGCCCGCACTCGTTGCACTTGTTCCTTCGCGCCCAGTTCACGTTGAAACAGTTCTGGCAGCTCCAGTCGTCGGGCGCGAACAGACCGGGCGGGCCGCGGTCGTCCCCGCCGCCGCGGCCTCTCCCGCCGCGATCGCCGCCCGCGCCCGCCGGCCTCGCCTCGCCGCAGCGATTGCAACGGCCCCTGAACGCGAAGTTCGTGTTCCCGCACGTGGGGTTCGGGCACGGCCAGTCCCCGTCGCGCTGCTGCTTCGGCGGCGGCGGGCCGCCCTTCGCCGGCTTCGCCGCGTCGGCCGCCGGCTTCGCCGCATCGGCCGCCGACGCCGCCGCGGACGGCGGCGGCGCGCGATGCCCGAGCCCGCCCTGCGCCGATCCCAGCGGGTTCTCGTACCGCGACGCCGGCGCGACCTCGCTCCCGTCCCTCCCCCGCGCGAGCGCGACGCTGACCTTGCACCCTAACACCTCCGTGCCGTCGAACCAGCTCACCGCCGCCTCCGCGGCGTGCGGGTCCGCGTACGACACCGTCGCGTCGCCCTTCGGGAGCCCCGTGTCCTTGTCTCTGTAGATCCACACCTTGTCGCAGTTCTTCTTCTTGTCGCGCTTGAGCTGACCGATCGAGCCGAAGATCTCGGAGAGGTCGGACTCGCGCACGGTGTCCGGGAGGCCGGCGATGTACACCATGTCGTTGCCCGCCATCGCGACCGCGCGAGCGCGTGACGGCGTCCCGCGCGCGATCGCGTGTGATCGGTCGGTACGAGAATTGTAAAGAAGAATCTCACAGCTCGGATTTTCGGGTTGCCGCGCGCTGCTGCGATGCCGCCGCGCGTCGAGGGCTTCCGCCGCCGTCGCCGCGGCAGAGCGCGCCGCGCGTCGCGACCGCCCGCGCGCGACCATGGACGAAGACGCGCCGCCGCTCGACGCGGCCGTCCGCGCGGCGTCGATCGAGGACGCGATGGCCGCGCCCGAGAACGTCGGCGCGGCGGCGGCGGCGGTCGGCGACGGCGACGGCGACGCGAATGATTCCGACGCCGACGACTCCGACTCCGACGACAACGACGACGCGCCGGTCCCCGACGCGTACGACTCCGATGACGACGACGCGGACAGCGACGACGACGACGCGGGCGTGGAGTGGAACATCGGCTTCGTCGAGGAGTGCCCGCCGCTGGAGCTGTCCCGGCAGCTGTTCCCGAGCAAGGTGGGCGGGCGGCCCGCGTACGTGAACCCGGTGGACGTGCCGACGGAGAAGCAGCTGAAGTGCCTGTACACGCGCGAACCCCTGGACTTCCTGCTGCAGGTGTACGCCCCGGACGACGACGAGCCGACCGCGTTCCATCGCGCGATATACGTCTTCACGTCCCCGCACGGCGGCGACTTGCACCGACCGGGCGCGACGCGCGCGTTTCGATCGCAGATGCGCCGAGACAATCCATTCTACCCGGACGAGCCCGCGTCGCCGGGGGGGCCTCTGCAGGAGCTCACGGACGCGCAGCAGGCGGCGTACGACGCGCGAGGGGACCGGTGGGCGGTCAGGCCGACGGACGTGGGCGCGGTCGTGCGCGCGCCGAGGACGTACCCGGAGTACGAGCTCGTCGTCGAGCCGGAGGAGTTGGACGACGGCGACGACGACGGCGGCGACGGCGGCGGAGGTGAGACTGCTTCCCATACGACCCCGTTCGCGTGGTGCACGCCGTTCCTTAAGGACTTTTCCCGTCGTCACTCTTCACCCGCGCTTCCCTTTCAACGTTTGACCGGTAAGACGTTCGACTGACCGATCGCTTCACCCACGCAGGCGGCGGCGGCGGCGATGAAAAAAAAATGAAACAGATGATGGCGATCGACGCGGACAAGGCGCTTCCGCCCGAGCTCCGCGGCAAGGGCGCGGACGTCTCCGAGAGCGACCTGAAAGACTTGGAGAAGATGCAGGACAAGAACGTCGTCCAGCTGTCGCGATTTCATCTCCGGTTGCGGCGCTCCGGGCCGACGCAAGTCGTGCGGTACTCCCGCGACGCCGGCGCGGCGCCGCTGTGGCCGTCGGTGACGCACGCGCCCGAGCACACGGCGCGGACCGTGCCGCCGTGCCCGCGGTGCGGCGCACCGCGGACGTTCGAGTTTCAGATCCTGCCGCAGATCATAAACCACCTGAAAGTGGACAGCGAACTGCACAGCGCGGCGGATTTCGGGAGCGCGGCGGTGTACACGTGTTCCAAGTCGTGCGCGCCGCCAGATCCGGGCGAGGACGGGTGCGTCGTCGGACTGGACGGCGATCTGGAGGTGTCGGGGGCGTACGCGGAGGAGGTCGTCCTCGTGCACCCGCCGCTGAACGCGTGAACGCGTGAACGAGACGAAGAGGTGCGGCGGCGCGGCGCGTGTTAAGCTTAGCTTAGCTTTATTACTCTGGGCGTCCGAGCGAACCCTTCGTTCGTATCCCGCGACTGCGCATCGTATCTACATGTCTCGCCGCGACCGCGACTGCTGCGCTCTCAGAGCGGTTCGAGGCTCGTCTCCGTCGTCCTGTCGTCAACCCGAAAGCGCGCCGTGGTCAAGGAACGTCTCGAGCTCCTGCGCGGTGATCGCAGTCGCCGCCCACGACGCGGCGGCGGCTCGGTCGAAAAAATCATCCTCCTCCTCGCTCGCGCTCGCGCTCCGCGCGCTCGCGCTCGCGCCGCCGCATACGCCGCGGCTTTGATTTTCGCACTCGGACTCGTACTCCAGCGCGGCGAGCCCTTCGCCGGTCTCGCACGCTTTCAAAAACTCCACCGCGTGCGCGACGCCGTCCACGGCGACTTTCCAATTTTCCGCCGCGACGGCGACGGCGTACCGTTCCTCGACGTGCCGTGCCGCGCGCGCCCGCGACGCGGACGGCGCGGCGACGGGGAGGCGAACCTTCACGTTCACGCCAGCAGCGCCCGCGCCCGCGTCCGAGCCCGCGTCGTCGTCGTCGCCGTCGTCGGTGTCGGTGTCGGTGTCGTCGCCGCGCGTCGTCTTCGGCGCCGCGCGGACGGACACGACGACGCGGTACACGTCCGGGCACCGGCATCGCACCGCGCGCGCGACGAGTCGCCCGAGCGCGCTCGCGGCGCCGACGTCGGCGGCGTTCGCGTCGGCGGCGTTCGCGTTGGCGTTGGCGGCGTTCGCGTCCGACGCCTTGAGCTCCGCGTGGAGCCGCGCCGCGACGTCCGCGTGCAGCGAGCTCGGCGACGCGTACGAGCTCACCTCGACGCCCGCGCCGACGACGCCCTCGCGCGCGAGGTTGACGCAACGCGTCACCGACACGACGCTCGACTCGGAGACGATCTCGATGACGTCGTGCGTCGCCTTCGCCATCGTCCCGTGCCCGTGGTGGCGCGTCGGCGCGATGGGAATGTCGCGCGTGATCGACAGGCGCGGGCGGAACGCGCTGACGGCGGCGGTGGCGGTGCCGCCGCGCGTGCTACCGCCGGACGGCGACGACGGCGGCCACGGATCTTCTTCCTCCTTCTCCGCGTCGGCGTCCGCGTCCGCGGCGGCGGCGAGCGCCGCGTCGTCGTCGCCGCCGAGCTCGAGCTTCGGGAGCGCGCAGTCGCTGAAATCCTCCTCCGGCGCGTACGCGTGCTGCAAGGCGTGCGCGTCGCGCGGCGGCGCGTCGATCGCGACGCCGTCGGGCGCGAGGCCCCAGAGGTTGTGGTCTCGGTCGACGTCTCGGTTTCGGCTGTGGTTTTCCGGGTCTCGGTCGTCCGGGCGCGCGGCCGCCGCCTTCGCGGCGATCTGCGCCGCCTTATGGGCTTTCGCCTCCGCGGGGCACCGCGGCCGCGGCGTGTCCCGCGGGCGCGGCGTCGACGCCGCGGCGTGCTTGTTGAACCCGCGGACTTTCTTCATCGCCGCCATGATGGTCGCGTCGGATTTGGAGTCTTCTTCCACCGCGGCGGCGCGGGTGCGTTTGCCGTCCTCGTTGCGCTCCTTCGCGACCGTCCTCGCCTCCGCCTCGAGCGCGATGATCGCTTCCTCTCGCGCCTTCGCCCTCGCCTTCGCGTTGAGCGCGATGAACGCTTCCGCGAGGGAAGACCTCGAGCGCGTCGGGGCGACGGCGGCGGTCGCGGCGGTCCCGCTGCGTTTTTTCGCGCCGCCGCCGCCGCCGGGAGGAGGGCGGTAGTCGTCGTCGCCGCCGTCGTCGTCGTCGCGCAGCGAGCCGCGGACCGCGTTCGCGTTCGCGACCGTCGCCGTGGAGGTCATTGCGGTCATGGAGCCGCTCCGCGAGCGGTTCGACGCGCTGTTCTTCCCGGCGTTCGCGGCGTTCACGATCGGGACGGACGCGACGTTACCGCGAGGCGTCGACGACGAGGGCCGTTCTATACGAGCGAACGTCGGGGTGGAGTTGAAAGGCGTCAGTTGGAGTTGAAATGCGTCGAGGTGTGTCGGGGTTGAAAGCGAGGGGTGGGCGGAGAGAGACGCCGGGAAAAGTCCTTAAGGATCGGGGTTCACCACGCCGACGCGGTCGTATGGGGACCAGTGTATAGAACGCGCCTGAGACGCCGCCGCCGCCGCCGCTGATCTGCTCGAGGAGGAGGTACTCGCGAAGCACGACCGAGCTTCCCGGCCGCGAGTTCGCGATCGGGAGGTCCTTCCTCCGCAGCGTCGCGTTCCAGTGGTTCTTCACGCCATTCTCCGTCCGTCCCGGCAGCCAGGTCGCGATGTCCGCCCATCGGTTCCCGAGCTGCCTCTGCGCGCGAATGAGAATCGTCTCCTCCTCTTTCGTCCACGCGCCGCGCTTGATGGTCGGGTCGAGGTGGTTGATCCACCGCTCGCGGCACTGCTTCCCGCGCCGCTGCTGGTTAGGGAGGAGGCGCGCGATCTCGCTCCACGCTTTCGTGCCGTGCTCTTTCACGAGCCTGCGGGGGCGGAGAGCGGCGGCGATCCGATCGATCAGTCGAGCGGGAGGGAGAAGGGAAACGCGCGCGGAGACGAGAGGGCGCGATACGACGGTTCGTCACTCATCGATTCCACACTCGGAAGCCGAGCGGGCGCTTGGTTTTTTTCGGGAAACCGGGACGGGCGAAAAATGGCGGGATCCCGCGCGCGCACCGCGCGAGGAGCTCGTCCTCCTGCGTCGTCCATGCTCCCGGCTTCTGCGCGCGCGGCGGCGGGCTCTCGCTCGCGCGCTTGCTCCAGGACAGGACCGCGCCGAGGGGGTCGTCCGCGAACGGGTTGTCCCTGCGCGCGAGCGACGGTGAGAACGGAACGAACGGGAAAAAATGGGTATCTCCCCCGCGGGGAAATGTGATCGGCTGGATTATCCCGGATCCTGGATCTCGCGCGCGATCGCGAGGGGGCGCACCACGGGCACGCGAGGCTCGCGCCGTCGTCGTCGTCCTCGAGCCCGAAGAGGTCGATGTCGTCGAACGCGAAGTAATCGACGCCGTCGTTTCCGTCGTCGCGCGCGGGCTGCGGCGCGAAACGGAGGGCGGGGGGCGCGTCTCAGGAAAAAACCGAGGGAACGGAGGGACGCCCGCGCCGCGCGCGAAGCGGGAACGAAGAAATCGCGGAAGAGCCACCGCGGCGCGCGCGCGAGGCGACGGGCGACGACGCGCGCGTCGCACCGGCGCGTCGGTCGCACGCGCGTTCCCGAGGAACCTCGTCGCGTTCGCGTCGTGCAGCGCGCGGTCGACGCGCGTCATCGCGTCGACCGTATCGGGGCTCGCGTCTCCGGCGCGATACGACGCGACGCACGCCATTTGAATGCGCTCAGTCTGGATTCTTTCGCGCGCGTCCTCTCGCTCGCGGACCGACGCGGGCGCGCGCGCGCGCTCCTCGGGCGCCGGCTCGCGCGCGCGTATCGCGTCGAGCGCGTCGACGCTGATCCTCGCGGGGACTCTGGCGCGCGTTGCGGTGCGGCGCGCGGGGCGTTGTGCGGGCGGTGCGACGTGTCCCCCCCGAGAAAAAATCGGTACAGGCTGTGGATTTTCGTCCGAACCGAGGCGAAACGACGGAGGGCCGTCGCCGCGACCGCTGGCCTCCTCACGCGCTCCCCCACCGCTCTCGTTCCAACGCGCCGCGCGTCTCGCGCCGCGCGGAGCGATCGCGCGCGCGAGGCGTCCCCGCGACGGGCGCGCTCGGTCGCTCGCGGCGACGGCCATCGCGCAGTGCCTCGCAATCGGGATCGTACGGGCGCCAGTCAGCAAGCGTCCGTTCCGAACGAATTAATCACCCATCGTCCGTCCCCAGCGTCCATCCGTCCCCAGCCTCTCGAACGGCGTCGCCGTCGACGCGTCTTCAGACGTCGATAGACAACTTATTAATAACGTGTTAAGTTGTTATGATGTTATTCTACATATGCACACTAACTCAGTACTTCGTACCTCTCTCTTCACAACCCGAAGATGGA